TCCTAGGTAACTTTCACATGACTGACAATTTGGTGATGGCTGTTGACTGGAGCCTCAGTTCTCCTCCAGCGTGGGCTTTTCCAGTGGGTTCCAAGAGGGAGGAGGTGGAAACTGCCAGTCCTCTTAAAGGCCAGGTCTGAAACTGGCACGGAGTCTCTCCCGCCACTCTCTCTTGGTCAGACTGGTCACAGGCCACGTTCCAGAGGGTGGTAAAATAGAATACATCTCTTTGTAGGGGAAATGACAAAGAATTCGGTGACATATTTAATCTGCCATAGTCAAAGAGCATATTGTTGAAGGATCTTTATTCACCTCACCAAATCACTTTCTAGAAAGGTTATGCTGATATGCAGTTCTGCCGGCAGTGGATGAGAATGCTCATTGTCACACTTAACTAACATTAAGTATTTAAATTTAAAAATTTCTACTTATTCAATATGTAAAATGTGGGATATCATTGTTTTACTTTGAATTTGCTTTATTATTGATGAGCTTCCATATGTTTGGTAAAAATTTGTATTTTTTCCTTTGTGCATTGTCTGGGCAATTTGTTTGTGTTAAACTCACAGGATTACATGAGTTGTTTATTTATTACTGACATTCAAATTGGGTCATATTTGTTATAAACATTCCTTTCATTTGTCTCAGTTAAAAATACAAAACCTTTCCCTCTTAATTGAGAAGAAAATAGACAAAACTATTTCCTATGAAATTCATATGATTTTCATAAGAGTTGTAGCCATACATTGGTCTCAAAATGTTGATTTCTATATTACAATAAAATATTTAGAATCTGTGTCAATTTTACTCATCTAACATGTCAAGAGGAATCTAGGAAATAACATGAGTTATTAATTATCTTTATTTTCAAGGGACTGAAACAAAAGTGATTTTAAATAATTTTATTGGGACAGAAATGGAGGAACAAAGCTGTGTCATTATCGCTTAATTTTCTCTTTATCCTTTTAGCTGTCTGGTGGGCAAGCCCCTTAACCTCTCTGGGCCTCAGTTTTCTTAACTGTAAAATGGGAATAAGAGCAGATATGCTGTTGTCAGAGCAGACAGTTAGCTAGATATGAGCAGAGAAGGGAGGCATCAGGTACATCTTGTGGTGACAGGCGTCCTAGAGGCAAACAAAGAAAGGCAGGAATCTCCAGCATCCAGATATAGCCTTTTTACTCATTATGCCCTCATTATAATAAAATTAGCATTGCAAATGAGAAGTACCCATCACGCACCAATGCCATGACAGTTCCAGGCAAGACCAAATAAGGACAAAAACTCCCCCACCCCTCAGGAAGGCGGACTGGGACGAAAACCAGGAAGGATGACCCAGACCCCTCCCTCCTCAATGAATATTCCACCCAGTCATTTTCACACCCTATATAACCAGCTTGCCAAAGGAACTCAGAGCATCTGCTCACCTGAGCCTGCCTGCTCTTCCTTCTGAGAGTGTATTGTTGCTTACTAAATCCTTGCTTTGCTTGTTTGTCCTCCATGTCTCCTCTCTGAATTCTTTCTGTAATGAAACAAGAACCTACTCTCCACTAACATCTGTGAGGCCTGGAGAAGATGTCTTTGATTCTGTTTTTTTAAATTTGCATTCTTTTTTATTGAAGTATAGTCAGTTTACAATGTTGTGTCAATTTCTGGTGAACAGCATGTTTCAGTCACACATAAACATACATATATTTGTTTTCATATTCTTTTTCAATATAGGTTACTACAAGGTATTGAATATGGTTCACAGTGCTATATAGTATAAGCTTGTTGTTTATCTATTTTGTATATAGTAGTTAGTATCTACAAATCTCGAACTCCCAATTTATCTCTTCCCACTCCTTTTATCCCCTGGTGACCATAAATTTTTCTCTATGTCTGTGAATCAATTTCTGTTTTGTAAATATGTTCATTTGTGTGTGTGTCTCTCTCTCTCTTTTTTTTTTACAGATTCCACATATCACATGAGTGATGTCATATGGTATTTTTCTTTCTCTTTCTGGCTTATTTCACTTAGAGTGATGATCTCCAGGTCCATCCATGTTGCTGCAAATGGCATTATTTTATTCTTTTTTATGGCTGAGTCATATTCCATTATATATGTATACCACATATATATCCATTTATCCACTCACCTGTCAATGGACATTTAGGTTGTTTCTGTGTCTTGGCTATTGTAAATAGTGCTGCTGTGAACATTGGGGTGCATGTGTCTTTTCAAATTATAGTTTTGGAGATGTTTTGAGGAGCCCAGCACAGGCAGGGCCTGGTGTGTGGTGGGCACCATTATTATTTGCCTCTTATGTTCTGCCTCGTGAACCAAGAAAGACCTTACTGCAAAGAGTCAAAGCAATTCAATGGAGGAAAGATAGTCTTTTCAACAAATGGCACTGTGGCAAATGGGCATCCATAGGCAAAAAAATAAACTATGACCTCCTCCCCATATCTTATACAAAAATTAATCCAAAGTGAATCATAGGTTTCAATGTAAAATGTAAACCGATAAACACTTCTAAAAGAAAGCATAGGAGAAAATCTTTTAGACCTAGGGCTAAGTAAACAGTTCTTAGAAATTACACCAAAAGCAGTACCCATAAAAGGAAAAGCTGATAAATTGGACAGCATCAAAATTAAAAACTTTTGTGCTGGAAGCACTATTTACAATAGCCAAGACATGGAAGCAACCTAAGTGTCCAACAACAGATGACTGGATAAAAAGTTGTAGTGTGTGTATGTATAAGCGTATGTATGTATGTATGTATATATATAATGGAATATTATTCAGACATAAAAATGAAATATTGTCATTTGTAGCAACATAGATGGACCTAGAGATTATCACACTAAGTGAAGTAAGTCAGACAGAGAAAGACAAATATTACATGACATCACTTACATGTGGAATCTAAAGAAAAAAATACAAACGAACTTATTTACAAAACAGAAACAGACTCACAGACATAGAAAACAAACTTTTGGTTACCAGGAGGGATAGGGGGTGAGAAGGGATAAATTGGGAGTTTGAGATTTGCAGATACTAACTAATATATATAAAATGGATAAACATCAAGTTCATAGTGTATAATGTAGGGAACTATATTCAGTATCTTGTACTAACTTATGCTGAAAAAGAATATGAAAATGAATATATGTATGTTCATGTATGACTGATGCATTGTGCTGTACACCAGAAATTGACACAACATTGTAAACTGACTATACTTCAATTTTATACACACACACACACACACACACACACACAAAGAAGAAAGAAACAGGCAAAAGACTAAGAGATATTTCACCAAAAAGGAGATACAGATGGAAAATAAACACATGAATATATTCAACATTATTAGCCATCAGGAAAATGCAAATTAAAACCACAACAAGATATCCCACCTATAAGATGAGTTAAAAATAGTGATAATACCAAAAGCTGGAGAGAATGCAGAAAAACTGTATTTCTCATATATCACAGATGGGAATGGCATAGCCTCTCTGGAAGATAGTATGGCAGTTTTTTTATAAAATGGAACATGCATTTACCATAATGACCCAGCAGTTGCACTCTTGGGCATTCATCCCAGATAAAGGAAAACTGATACTCACACAAACATCTATACATGAATGTTTATAGTGGCTTTATTTGTAGTAGCTCCAAACTGGGAAAAGTCAAACTCTGATACATTTGTACCATGGAGTACTACTCAGCAATAAAAAGTAATGAACTTCACACACAATAACCTGGATGGACCTCAAGGGCATTATGCTCAAGGGGAAAAATCACTATTAAGAGGTTTATTACTTTAAAACCTTTGAAGGTCTTACATATACTTTATAATTCTATTTATATTAACATTCTCAAAATGACAAAACTATAGATGGGGAACAGACTAGTGGTTGCAATGGGGCAGGGATATGGTTGGGAGGGGATGTGAATATTAACAAAGTATGAGAGGGATCCCTTGTGATGATAGAACAGATCCATATCTTGATTGTGGTGGTAGCTACATAAATATATGTACATGGGATTGCACATGCATATATTGCATAGAAACACATACAAATAAGTACATGTAAAAACTGATGAAAATTGAACACAGTCAGTAGTCTTGTTAACAATATCATACCGATGTCAGTTTCCTATTGTGATATTGTATTCAAGATGTCACATTGGGGAAAGCTGGGTGAAGGGTACTATATATGTTTCAAAATAAAAAGTTAAAAACACTTAGGTAGTGAGTAAAACGCTTATAAAACACTTGGAAGTATCTGTATTTATTAATAATTTGATTAAAGGCAATAATGATTTTGAACATAAAAATGAATGTGAATTTAGGCTTTGCTGAACATTCTCGGTGGCTTAGAGGGAGTCCTTACCCTCTAGGCGCTTATGGGCAGTAGGGTAGATAGTTCTGTGAATGACACATTGTCTACTAAGAGGTGAGCATGTAAACAACCATCTATAATCTCTGAGTTAAATAAATTGAATCATTACAAGAGAGTGTGGCAGAAATTGAGAGGAAGGAGATTTTAAAGTGGCCTGAGAGTCTGGGGGAAAATTTCTTGGAGAAGGTGATTTCTGAAGTGAACCTTGAAGAATGGATCTGATTCTGAAGGTACAGAAGAGAGTAAGGAAGTTTTTTTTTTAATGTATATCCTAGATTCTTTTTGTTAGTATTTTCTTAATCAAATTTATTTTTCTCCGAACTTATTCTTCATGCCTTTAGCCTATGAAGTTAGATGTATTTATATATGGTAAAAATTCACCGTGGGGACTGGCTTAAAATGTGCTTTTATTTTTGAAGCTTAAAGAGCATTTAGAGTCACTTTGTAGTTCTTCAAAGAGAAATGCTTTGGGAGAAAACTTGAAGTCCTGGGTCCTATTGCCATTTGCCTGGAAGTACCAACTTGCGGTCATGTAGCTGGAAACTCTGCCAAAATAAAAGAGTATTTCTTCTACCCTCAAAGTTTTCTTTTTCTTTTTCTTTTTCAATCAGGAAGAACTTGAAAAATGAATCAGAGTTGAAAACCAAGTACTGCTGACAATAAAGAAGATTGCCCCAGGTAGGGACACAACGAACCATCTGTAGTTAATAGAGTTTTGATTCTGGTTTTGTTTGTTTGTTGGTTTGGTTTTTGTTTGAGTTTACTTAAATTCACGCTCCAGTCCAGAGGAGCCAGATTCCAAAGGAAAGCTAAATGTCAGATGTAAACAGACCTGGTGCACAGGCAATTTAATTCATCATTTGTTGAAATGAGGGGTTTGCATTTTACTTGGGCCTACCTTATCTTATTCAGTGTTAATTATATTATTTACTTTATTTTGGCAGACACAATGTGTACTTTAGGAGAAGATAGAAAGAGCCCTTAAACTCTCTGTATAGAAAAGATGCCCTTACAGAGCCAACCATTAGAATGCACGTGCAATTACAGAAAAAACCCTCAGACACTTGGCTGGAACGAGCCCTGAAGATCACCTTATTCAGTAGCCTCGTTTCACCAGGTCAGGAAACAATCAGAAGAAAATGTTCCTCTTCCTCGGAGAATAACTGGTTTTCAAGATATTCATTCATTCATTTGGTTGTTTATTCAATACCTTCTGAGTACCTATTAGTAAGTGCTCTATTTTGGCAGTAGATATTGTTCTGGGTGTTGGGGATATAGGGACCTGCACCAGGGAGCTTACCTAAGTGTGTTTGTGAAGGAGGGACTAGATAATTAGAGAGGAAACAAAGGTACTGCCTATTTCATCACAGTGTCAAGTGTTGTAAAGAAAAGAAGCCCAGGGAGAGGAACTGTCTGATGGGGGTGGAAGAGCTCAGGGAGAGCCTTTCAAGGAGATGACATTTAAGCCTTTCAAAGAGATGACATTTAAGCTGAAGCCTGAATGATGAAAAGGAGAATTGTTACTGAACCAAACTGGGATCCACTTGCCCCAGCTCAAAACCAATCTACCGACACTGGATTGTGGTGAAAGACAGTGTTTATTGTATCCTTCCAAGGAGTCTGAGACAGCTAGTGTTGAAAAAGCCCGAACTCCTGGATGGGTTTCAGCAAAGCATTTTTGAAGCCCAGGTGAGGGAAGAGGGTTGCAGGGTATGTGATCAGCTGTGCACAGTCCTCTGGTTGATGGTGAGGTACAGGGCAGTGTCACAGGGGTTAACATCATCAATCCTTAGGCTCCAGTCGGTCTGGGGGCTGTGTGCTCAAGGTTATCAAGCAGCTAATTTGTCTTCCATCTGGTGTCTTCCATTTGGTGGGGGTTTTCACATCTGTAAAATAACTCAGGAAATGTGCATCAGATACTGTTATCTAGGTACATCAGAGAGGAGCTAAAGCAGAGGATATGGGGAAGGCATCTGTCCCAGGAAGGCCCCCTAGGGTCCTGTTCCATTACACCATCTATGTGAAGGCACTGGGGAAAATTGTCATGGTAGAGGAATAGCTGAGGCCCCAAAGGCAGGAAGGTGACTGGCAGGTTCAGAGTCCAAAGCAGACCAGTGCCTAGGGAAGGAGATGTGATTGTCGCTGAAGAGCTTGAGGGCTGACCCTGCAGGCCTTGTGGGCCCAGGGAAAGGCTTTTGAGGCCCTTGAAGGTTTAAACACAGGAGTTGCAGGATCTGATTTATATTTTAAAGGTATTTTGTCGGGTGTGATGTGGAATGGTAGAGAGGCAGGAGCAGAAGCAGAGAGACTAGCTCTGCAGTCAGGCCAGGCAAGAAGGTTCTGGCCTAAATGGAAGGTGGTGGCAGAGGTGAGGCAAACAAGTGAATGGATGTAGGATACAGATTTGGAGACAGAACTGTTAGGACTACAGTTCCACTGGATCTGGGTTTGAGGCCAAATGAGAAGGACTCAGAAGAACTGAGGTTTCTGGCTTAAGTGATTGAGTAGGACCATTTCCTGAGATGGGCAGGTCTGGTGAGGAGCAGGTTGGGAGCAGTGTGGATGGGGTGAGGAGTCATTCATTAGAAAAAGTAAGTAGGTATTGAGATCGGGAAAAACAGGAGTAAGCCCATTTTGGTAGAGCAATGTGTGAAGGCCTCACTCAGAAGTTGACATTTAAGGTGAGATATGAAAGGTATGAAGAGCCAGCAGAGAGAACATTCCAGATAGAGGGAACCATAGGTACAGAGGCACAAAGAGGGGAAACAGCTTGGAAGGTCAGAGGTGAGCAACAGGAGCTATTGTGGCTGCAGGACAGGGAGCGAGGCAATCAGAAGAGTGGTTTCTATTTTTCATTATCTCTCAGGAACAGGTTTAACACTGTATCTTGGATGTGCAAAAAGAAATACTGCTTTTTCTCTCTCTATAGCTGACCTGATTTTTCTCACAGATGCCACTCTGAATAGGAGTTGAGACTGAAAGAAGGGACCAGGAATTTAAACCTGCCTATTTGGTATATTCATCACTTTCAGTTGACTCCAGAGTATTTGCAAGATGTCAGGCAAGAGAAGCCGTAGGTCCACAAACCACAGCAGTTGTCTGCTGCCCTCTAGCTCCTCCTGCCTCCATCATGACAGGTGGAGCCAGAGCTCTTGTCTTGTCCTTGTGCATCCGGTCAGGTGACAAGGTTGGGGGACACTTTACTTACCTGTCTCTGGAGAACTCTTAGTCTGTTCTCTGGGTTCAGTTGGCCCAGAGGTCTTTCCTCCAGTCACCCTACTTCCATTTTCTCTGATTCCACAATTTCTTCTCCCTAAGGTCTGAGGACTCCTTTGATTCCCAGTATAAAGCACTTCAGCATGACCTCATCATCCCTCTATGGCATCTTTGCCAGCAGCAACATCATCTTCCCACATCCTTCAAGAGGCAGGCAGGAACCTCTAAGTTTCCTCTGTGCCACAAGGAAGGCTCCGGGTAACTAATGCTCTCATTACCTACCTGGCTCTGCTGCCGTTTTCACTTTCTTGCATCATTCGCTGTTGGTGCCCTACATGGTGAAATCTTCCCAGAGTTGTGAATGGGAAGTGGTAGAGGCTTCTCTACTTTTGGCTTTCTTCTTGACTCTTGTCCTGTCTGACACTAGCCCCTCAGATCTTACAGTCTAGGGAGGTGTGCTGGTGATCCCTAACATACATTCACCTGACTACTTGCTTCCCCGACCACTCTTCTATTTCTGGTAAATTCTCTGAGCTGGAAGGAGTAGGTGTCCTTCTTTCTTATGGTGGTTTTAAAGTGTGTCTGCAAATTCCTCGATGCTCTTTCCAACAAGAGATGGAGTCTGTGTTACTTTTCATGAACCTGGGTGGACATTTGTGACTTCCTTGATGAAAAGAACATGGTAGAAGTGATGCAGTGTGACCTAAGGCTGGATGAGAAAAGGCCATTCCATTTCTGCCAGTTTCTCTTGGGACTTGCTCTGGGAGCCTTCAGCCACCATGTGAGAAGTCCAGCTACCCTGAGGCCACCATTTGGGGAGACTGTGGGGAGAGATGAGAGAAAGAGAGAGAGGGAGCAGGGGAGAGAGAGAGATCTGAGGATCTTGAGCTGTTAGGTGTGCATGTGTGCCCGACCCAGGGGCCAACATGCAAGTTAAGAAGTGTCAGTTTCAGTCACTATCTGACTGCACCCTGAGTGAGAAGCACCTACTTAAGCTCATTCAATGCTCAAATTCATGAGCAAAGTAAACAACTGCTCTTATTTTAAGTTACTCTTTTGGAGTGGTTTGTTCATAGATGACTGAGGCACCCACTCCTCCTGGAGCTCACATTCTCACCAGTCTTTCTCTTCTTTCTTAAATAATTTCTACCCTATAGCTCATAATTAAACTGCGGGTCCAGACCTCTAAGTGGAGTGACCAGTGACCCTGATTTGGACTAAGGGGGAGGGGGGCAGTTCTGGGATGTGGGACTTTCAGTGCTAAAACTGGGAAAGTCCTGGGCAAATCAAAATGAGTTGGCCACCCTACTCCAAGGTTTGCTTATGTTATATAAAAGAAGCTGAACGGATTTAGAGATTTTAGAATTAGTGCATTACTATTTTTTAATAAGAATCTTAATAAACAAATTTGAGCATGGAAGCTGACGCTTTGTTCTAGATGGTATCTGTCCTACCAAAGGGATGTACGCTACAGAGTCAGTGAGTGGGCTGCCATAGGCAAAGATAATGGTACAATATGAAAATATTTCAAAAATGTCTCATAATGTACAGATGGAGAAATTGGATCCAGACAAGGCCACTAAATTTTCCAAGGGCTAATAGTGACTAGGCCATGATTGGGACTTCAGTCCAGGGCTCTTACCTCCATTTTATGTCATTTCCAATCCTTACCAATATCTACCATGTAAATACGGTATAATAGTGAACCCTGGGAAACACTTAGGCTGAAGGAAAGGTGTCTTTATCATCAGTAAGATGGTTCACCATCTTCAGCAACAGGCAGAACCGCTTAGACTAGACTCTAATGTCAGCCATACCTAGGCAAACTAAGATCCAGAAAGTACATCTTGCTTCAAAAAGAAAACCCTAAACCAACTTCAGGTCTGTTTTGAAATGGGGTGTTTAACAATCTCATTATATGTTAGTGAAAAATTGTTGGCTCTGGTGCTGCTGTCCCAGACGAAGCCAAGTTAACTTTGGGCCCAGACTTTAGGGCTCTTCACAAACATGAGGGCTGGGAGGCTTCCAGCTGGCAGCAAAGCTGGTGTAACTGGATATGGGCAGACGAACCTTCCTGGGTGTGTCTTGTGGCAAAGGAACCCAGACTGCTTTGGCTAATAAATAGGAGACTGGTAGCTGTCTACACTGCCTAGAGCTGAAGATGGCAAACCAGGTGGGAGGGAGGGTGGAGGAGGAGAGCATTACTGTGACATCTGACTTGGCAGGAAGCTGCCATTACTGTGCTTGCCCCACCTCTGTTTAGAAAGTATATGTGGTACGTGTAGGTGTGGGCTGTGTTAACAGCCAGAGTAGAGCTGTTATCAAAGAAGGCAAATTGCTCACTCATACGACTTCAGTGACTTGGTTACCCAAGAGCCAGCCCCATCCTGTCCAAGGGAGCCAGGAAGAAACTGTTGTGACCAGGAAGGCAACGTGGTAATGAGGCCATGAGTCAGTCACAC